TCTCCTTGGCCCCTCATCTGGCAATGGCCATGCCCTTGGACTGCCTGTGCAGAACCACCCTCTCCAGCTCAGCCCTTTAGCCTGCCACGCCCCCAGCCCCCTCCCTGGACCATGCTGCAGGGCCCCGGCTTTTCCTGCTGATTCATGCGTTGGAACTGTGGGGGCGGGGCTTGGAACTTGGAACAAAGTTCAGACGCGGAGGGGCCGGCAGACAGCCTGGAATTCATACCAGATGTACCCGGAATGTGCAAGCGGAATGCCTGGCATCTCAGAGTCCTGAGGAAGCTGCCCAGCCACCCTGCCCATGCCTCCCTCCCCTTCTGCCGATGGTCAGCTGTCCTCTCCCTCATACTCCTCAGTATGAGCCCCTGCTGACCTTCCAAACTCTAGCTCTCCCCCCCACCATTCTCACCCTCCACAAACCCTCCTTCCAGCTGAATTCACTATAGGAGCAAATCAGTCGAGCTGATTACAGAACTCAAAGCTCTGGACCCGAAGTACAATTTTTCATTTGGTTCCTGGGTTCTAGACCTTGCCCTTTGAATGCTGAAGATGCTGGAGTCCTCAGTCGGTTGCCAGGGGTTGCTAGTGCCTGTAAAGCTGGGCAAGACAAGTGCATTTAGAAGCCTCTTGCTTCTCACTCAAGAGCCCCCCATTAGAAGATATTGAAAGTCAATAGAGCTAGTGGGTCATTGTCGCTGCTACCCAGCCCTATTCCAAGCTCTCCTGTTTTTCCTCCCTTCCACTTAGGAACCTGTGCCTCCCACACCCTCACCTGGCTGAGCCGCAGTAGTTCTTCAGTGGCAAGCTTTATGTCCTGACCCAGCTAAAGCTGCCAGTTGAAGAACTGTTGCCCTCTGCCCCTGGCTTCGAGGAGGAAGAGGAGGAGCGGAGCGACTTCTTTGCCTATCATCTGGAAGGTGACAGAACTGGGGTTGGGAAGGGCTCACTGCTGGGGTTATGGTTTTAGGGAAGGGAAACTCTGGTGCTTTGGGGAGCTCTTACCCACACTGGCCCAGCAAAAGGTTCAGGTTAAAGTCCCTGACTAAATCGGGGACTAGGTGGCTCCACCTCCCCATGTTATTTGATCTTTGTGTCAATGGGGAGAAACAGAAGGAAAGTCTGTCTACCTGTCTAACAAGACTTCCTCGTAGGCCTGCCTTTCGTATCTCTCCCCACCCCCCAACTTTCCCTTCACACAAGCTCCAAAAGGAAATGTACTCACGGGAAAGGTGACACCAAAATTCTGATCTAAATAGTCATCTGTGCGTTTACCTTTCTCTGTATTTTTTAGATTGGTCCAGATTTTGGTTTTAGGGGTACTTACCTCTATGGGAGTCTTACACCTGTTTCTTTCTCCTCCTGTGCAATGGGGAATCCCATAGATGAGTAGGCGGAAGGGCATCAGAAGTCCACCTGTGCTGACTCAGAGCCAGGCTCCTCTCTTCCTGTGGGTGGAAACCAAACAGCTCCTCATCTTAACTGTTGTCCTCCTCCATGCCCTGACTAACCCAGCTCTCGGGACTGGGGTGGAGGGAAAGGTTAGAGTTAAGACCAATGCAAGGAGCTAGTGGGAGGCTGGACCTATGCTGGCTGCTCATCACACAAGGGTGACCCAAGGTTTCCCCTCCACTCAAAGACAGACCACAGCTCCTGACTGGGTCCTAGCAACTGCTGCCATTTATTTCCTGCCTTTGCTTTCCAGGATAGAGAGACTCAGCTCAGTGCTGTGCAGGGAAGGAACTGTCTCCTGCAAGCCATCAGGGGAAGCAGGTTCGATGACAGGAGTCCCTTCTGCTGTCGCTAGCCCTGATGCATTCTCATGCTTGGGCTTGGGCTCTGATTGTGGTTCACCTTTGGCCTAGTCTCCCTAGCAGAAGATGGGTTCAGGGGCTACAGGAAGCCGTTTGTTCTGTTTGGCAGGAGGAGGAGTTCTAGCCCAGTCTCCAGTTATGAGAAATTGAAAGTTATAGGGGAGACTAGATCACATAACCCAACCCTGCTGCAGCCTGAGATGAGGGGTAGGACGGGTGAGGGACCGCAGCAGAGGGGGTGGGGAGGCCGAGTCTGCTCATACCCTGCAACAAAGCCTGCTCTGTCCCTCGACATGGCTTTCTTCCCCTCCTCACTTCACTGGCGACAGTGTGTCCCTCCAGCACTGGCTTCATGGCTCTGCTATCTTCTTCCAACACGGAGCCTCAGAGGTGAGGAAGGGCAGCCTGGAAACAGAGGCAGGCAGAAGACCAGTGAACCGGACATTGGTCAGAGGGGCACATAGAAGCCTGGAGAACACCAGGGAAGAGAACAGCCAACCTCAGTGAAAGACAAACTTACCGCCATCTCCTCTCCAGACCTACCTCCCTTGGAGCTGAAGAGCCATAATGAAGTATGGTCCCAGCTCTTCTCTACCCTGCAGTTTCTATAGAAGCACCCTCAAGGAGCATGAGCCACCTCTGAAAGGAAATCATAGCAAATTCAAAGAGGGATTCAAATGCGTAGCACTATGAAAAAACGTATTTTGGGCTGAGGCTGTAGCTCAGTTGGTAGAATGCTTGCTTAGCATGCCCAAAGCCTTGGTTCTGTCTTCTGCCTTGCCTAAAACTGGGCGTGGTGGCACAGGCCTGTAATCCCAGTCACTGGTGGTGATGGCCAGACTCTGCTACACAAAGAATTCTGAGCCAGCCTGGATTACCTGAGACTCTGTCTCAAAAAAAAAAAAAAACAACAACAACAACAACAACAGTCTTTGTTAGTAATTAAAAGAAGGCAGACCTGGCTGAACGCGTTTTTCCCTGATCATGGTAGACAAATGAAAGCCAGAAGAAACTCCTGTGCATTGTGAGTAGCAGTATCAAACACTGGAGGAGATATCTTTTGGCCTTGTAATTTTGTGTTTAAGAACTGTATCTTAAAATCAGGACTTGGTTATAAAATGTTCATCTAAGGGTTGCAGTAGAGAAAAAATAGAAAGCTACTGCTTATTTGGAAATCCATTCCTTTTCTGTTGTAATGAAAATTTGCAGGAGGGGATTGCTTAAGTGAGTTATATTCATCCCGATGGTAGAGTAGTGCACGGCCATCCAAAGTCATGTAGAAGAAAAATTGACTGGAAAGAAAAATGCTCTTTGAATATTAAAAAATTATTAAAGTATGAGTTTGTGACCTTAATTTTGTTTTTAAACAATCTGTTTTTAAAATATGAGTGCATACTTGTAATACATAGATTAAGAAAAGACTGAAAGTAGACCCAAAACATTAAGAGTGGTTATTTTCGGATGGTGGGATAGAACAATTTTCCCCTTGTTTTTCCTCATTCTATGTTTTCTATATTAATTGTATATTGCTTTTATATGTTAAATAAATTGCAAAAGATAAATGTAAATTTTAAGTTTTTACTCTTTTATGTGTATGAGTGTTTTGCTGGCATGCATGTATGTGCAGCATTCTCATGCCTGGTGCCTCCAGAGGCTGGTAGAGGGCTTAGAATCTCCTGGACCTGGAGTTAGGCTGCTGTGAGCTACCACGTGGGTGGTGGGAATCAAACATAGGTCCTCTGCAAGAGCAGCCAGTGCTGTCTGCTGAGCCACAAATCTCTTCACCCCCTCTATGTAATTTTTAAAAGAAGATTTCTATCATGTGCCTGTATGGGCACCTGAGTGTGGGTGTCTGTGGAGCCAGAAGAGGGCATGACATCTCCAGAGCTGGAGTTACATGCTGTTATGAGCCCTCTGATATGGATGCTGGGAACTGAACATGGGTCCTCTACAAGAGCCGCAAATGTTCCCGGCCACTAGAGCCCTCTCTCCAAGTCCTCGATGTAATTTTTTTAAATTTTGGAGAATTGGGTGTAGGGGAATGGACTGTATCTAGTGCCCTGGTGAAAACGTTTGCTTGGGGTACCTACTGCTTGAACATGTGTGGGGGTGGGGTGAGTGCTGGGAATCACACCCAGGGCCTTCCCTGTACAAGCTAGGCAGGCGCTCCTGCCGCACTCAAGTCAGCCCTGTTGAGCTTCATTCTTTAGTTCTCTGAATCCACCCACTTGCTCTGCACACAGGAAGCGTTCCTCCGACTTTTGGCTGTCAGCCAGCTAAAGAGGTGTGGCTCAGAGTAAGAAAGAAGGAAAATGCTCCAAACTAGTCACTCTTCAGGGAATTCAGGGTTGGAGAGAATGTTCCTCTTAAGGCCAAACGTCTAGGGTTGCTACCGCGGGTGTTGATCTCTTTTGAGTCGGCCTTTTTCTTGAGGCTTGGGAAGGGGAGAATAGTATATGATAGGGATTTCCTGTGTCTCCCCTGCCTAGTAAAGATCCCCAGCGTCTGGGGGCAGAAACTCGGAAAGGGATCCCCCAATGAGCTGCCCCAAAACAGGACACCCCCGTTTGGGGAGTACTATGTAAGGGAATTACAGATGGGCAGAGAGCACCTCTGCCTAACTGGCCATGCACTCAGGTAAAGGTGAGGTGGTGCAAGGTTTGGACCCTCGGGGCTTGGGTGCGCTGCCCTTCTATCTTCACAACTGGGTAAGGATGACCAACCAGTAGGTGAGAGAAGAGGAAACCAGAGCAGGTGAAAGTTAGTGGGCGGAGCCCCATACCTGTCAGGTAAGGCTAGATAAATCGCTTTCTGGAACTCTGAGGGGTTTGGAGACTCGTGGCGTTGGAAAAGACTTCTAGTGTTGTGCAGGAAGGCCTCTGAACTCGGTTGCCGAACTTGATGCCTGGGAGCCCCCAAACCGCAATCCCCCAAGCAGGGCCAGGACGCCATCGCTTCTATGGCTCCACGGGTGGTGGCCCCACAGCTGCACCAATCACTTGCCCAGCCGAGAGATAGGGGCGTGGACAAGCTAGGGAAAGTTACAACAGGTTGGAAAGGCAAGACAGGCAAGGAAGCCCCTGGCAACAGCCAGATACCGACTCCGCTGGGGGGGTCCTTCGAGGTCCCGGACACCAGGCACAGGAATCAAAGACACAAACTGAAGCCTAGCTGACCTGCCAGACCATGGCATCCTGGGAACTCCTTGTGGTTGGTGCCTCCTTCGCAGCATTTCGGGGGCTGCACTGGGGACTGCAGCTGCTGCCCACCCCGGAAACTGCTCGAGACCTTTGGATGTGGCGGAACATTTTCGTTTCGCTGATGCACAGCCTTCTCTCTGGAGCAGGGGCGCTGGTCGGGTGCGGAACTTGGGGACTGACGAAGCACTGAGGGGCGGAGGTGGAGATGAGAGCGTGGAAGACTGAGGTTGGAATTCTGGGTGGGTACCTTTTAGAACAGATGTGAGGTCTTAAAGTCTGGAGCTGGGTTGGGTTGCGGACAGGTGAGAGTACCAAGGGAAGAATGGTTCTAGGTCTTGGAGAAATTAACCCTAGCTCCCCCGGTCTTCCCCAGGCTATGGCTGTATCCTCAGATGGTCATCGACCCGATTCATGGCCACCCATCGTGGGCAGTGGTCCTAGTAGCAGTGTCAGTGGGTGAGTGTACAGACAGGCTGGGCCCCCGGAAGGCGGTGCTGAAACAGGAATCCTAGGTCCCTCCCCCTCTTTGGAATGGAGCCCGTATTGGTGGAGGTTTGCTGTGAGGGATTAAGGACCTGAGGAAAGTGGTACTTGAGACTCTTCTCTAGGCCTTGCTCTGAGCTAGGACCCTAATAATCCTCTGCCATGCCCACAGGTTATTTCCTGGCGGATGGAGTTGACATGCTGTGGAATCAGAACTTGGCCCAGGCCTGGGACCTTCTCTGTCACCATTTGGTGGTGAGACACTGAAGGGAGAGGCCAGACAGAAAGGAAGCACTCCCAAGTTTAGAACCCAGCCCCGCTTCAGCCTTCTGTCCTCTGACTTTCCCATAAAGCCCCCTGTAAACCCATCTTCCCAGTCTTGGACTGAACTGGAAGGAGGTTTTGACTGCTAGCCACAGTTTGGAATCTGGGCACTATGGAAGAGGTTTGGATCCCCACAAACATTCAGCTGGTCATGAAAACATTGATGCAGAATGTTGCTGAGAGGGGGAGTCATGGTATAGGCTGTGGGAAGGAGGCAGAAAAAACGAGGATTGAAAGCTGGGGTGTGCTGTGCAGTCAGTCTAGGTTCAGGGTGAAATAGCCTCTGGGCAAAGACATGGGTCAGCAGGAAAGTCAGGTTTGGGGGGAGTCTTCTGAAATGCTTTTGTGTCCTCAGTGAAAGGATTAGGGTGATGATCCCGGGACTCGATGGGCACAGGGCATACGAAAGAATGACTTTGAACCTTGTCCCCAGGTAGTGAGCTGCCTCAGCACTGCGGTTCTGTCTGGCCACTTTGTGGGCTTCGCTGTGGTGTCTCTACTTCTGGAGCTGAACTCCATCTGTTTGCATCTGCGGAAACTTCTGCTCCTTTCCCATAAGGCCTCATCCTTGGCCTTCAGAGTAAGCAGCTGGGCCACCCTGACCACGCTGGCCCTCTTCCGCCTTCTACCTCTAGGATGGATGAGTCTGTGGTTGTTTCGGCAGCGCTACCGGGTGTCTCTTGCTCTGGTCATCCTTGGTGGAACTGGGCTGGTCATTGTGGGATCCATGAGCATCTCATTGGGTATCCGCATTCTGATCAGGGATGTCTTGCAGTCTCGACCTCATCCATTTATCTCTGTGCACAAGGAGACCAAGACATATGGCGGAGAGACAGTCACCAGGAACAATTCCACTCTCAGTCTGAAAAACTAGAGAAGTGGAGGTTTCCTCTTCAGTCAGCCCTGAGACTGGGGCCAGGAAGAGTAGATGGTAGCCTTCGCTGCATAGTCTCCTGTGTAGCAAAGCCCAGACTGTATTAGCAGTATCTCAAGACCTTTTCCAGATGACCCACTTCTCTCCCCTTCTCAAGACCCAGGAAGGTTTCACGGAAACCCAAATTACTGCTCACTGAATTCCTTTGCTCCAGCGTAAGGACAGACCACAGGACAGGAGGTTCTTCTGGAATCAGAGAGACCTGGCATGGAGGGCCATTTATGATCAAATTCTGACCTCATTTATGATCAAATTCTGACAGTGCGATAAGAGCACAGGAAACATTATCTGCTGCCAGGAAGGATGCATGTGGCAGTTGCCAGTGAAGACAGAAGCTAGGCCACTGCAATTGTTGCTGATACCTCCGATCTTCTAGGTCAGACTGCAAGTACTGGGATTGTACTAGCCCTACCCTACTGCAAACAGCCTTTCTAATACTTGTGTATCTTCTGACCTAAAAAAATATAATTCTTAGATGAACATGGTCTGTCTCCTAAGGCAGCACAGAAGTCAGAAGCTACAGAAAAGACTTAAGTGCCAAGTGTGATCACCTAGCACTAAACTTTCAAGACAGGATTTCTCTGTAGCTTTGGAGCCTGTCCTGGAACTCCCTCTGTAGACCAGGCTGGCCTCGAACTCACAAAGATCCGCCTGCCTCTGCCTCCTGAGTGCTGGGATTAAAGGTGTGCGCCACTACCTCCCGGCTCTTTCCTGGAGTCTTTCGAAGGCTCTCTCCTCCCTATCTCTGCAGCAAGTCTCCTATTGTGGCTCTCCTCCATTTCTCGTCTGAACATCCGGGTTACAGGACTGCAGAGTACTGAACAGTGGGGGGAGAGAGTGATAACCTTTGATCATCCACAAAAAAGATAAAGGAGCAAAAACCAAGAGGCAGGAGGGGCTTTTAAAAAGCGCTGCTAAGATCAGGTGTGGGTGATGTTCGACTTTAATCTTAGCACTCAGGAGGCAGAGGCAGGAGATTTTTGTGAGTTCGAGGCCAGCCTGGTCTATAGAGTGAGCTCCAAGACAACCAAGGCTACACAAAGAAACACTGTCTCAAAAAACGAAAAACCAAAACCATAAAAAAGTGATGCTAAGAAGTGAAGGGAGAGAAAGACAAAGAGGATGAGGGAGACAGATGTGCACATGTGCACAGATATGTCTGGGTAGAAGAGAGAAAGATTAAACCCCAGGCAGAGGGAGCTTGAGCACAGGGAAGAAGAGTAAAGCTTCAGCAGACATATTGAGAAAGGTTGTTACAGAGGTTAAGAGGAACCCAAATCATAGTGTTAATGAAATGGTCACAAAGAAGGCAGGAAAAAGCCAGGTGGCAGTGGCACATGCCTTTAATCCCAGCACTCAGGAGGCAGAGGCAGGTGGGATTCTGTGAGTTCGAGGCCAGCCTGATCTACAAGAGCTAGTTCTAGGACAGCCTCCAAAGCTACAGAGAAACCCTGTCTCAAAAAACAAAACAAAACAACAACAAAAAAAAAAGGAAAGAAAGAAAAGAAAAGAAAAAAAAGAAAGCAAGCAAGCAGGAAAACCAGAAATAAAGTGGGACAGAAGGGGACCCCAAGAGAGGAAGGCCCAGGTAGTCTAGACATCAGAACCTTGAAAGCAGACCCAGGAGAGATGGAGGCAATAGTGGCAAATGGAGAGAGTAACAGAGAGAGAGAGGTAGAGGTGGAGAAGATGGGGATCAGACAGGGGACTGAGAAGCAGGGACAGGCTGGAGAGGGTTTGCCGTATAGAAACAGGAAGCATGTTGAGCTTGAGATAGGCAGCTGCTGTGAGATGCAGACAGGCTGGCAGAGACTGGCGGGAAGAGGGGGTCAAGTCAGACTAGACCTGCAGGGAAGACAGGACAGGCAGGGCAGAGGAGCATCCTGGGAGTGGGGATAGCATGTAAAGCACTTAGGTAATATCCAAAAGAAAGAAAAGGGGGAACAAAGGAATAAAGAGAGAGGAAAAGACAAAAAAAAAAAAGAAAGAGAAGCAAAGAGAGAGAATGTTGTATGAGATCTCCATTATAGTCAGAAAAACAGGACCAAAGCAGAAAAAATAACAAGGAAAGACTGGAGTCCGGCAAGGTGGCACGCACTGATAATGCTAACACTTAGGAATGACAAGCAGGATGGTCAGGAGTTCAAGGCCAGCCTGGGCTACGCGAAACCCCATCTCAATGAACAAACCAAAGAATCAAAAAAGAAAAAATCGGACATGCCAGCTGCAGCATTACCAAGCGTTCATGAGGTCTTAGGTTCAATGCCCAACACAAAGAACTTTTTTTTTTAATGTAGGATTTGGCAGGAGCTTTGTTTATTGATATGGGTCTGGGTCACCAGGATAATACCATGGCCAGGTGAAGCTGTCCTCAAGACTGACTCCATGCTTGCCATAGATTCTGTCTGCCAGCAGAGGGGAGGAGTTTTAGTGGGGAGAGGACATGAATAAATTGCTATGCAAATGATTTCATCAGTCTATTGTGAAAGTGATTGCTTTGAGTCATCTCTCTTGGCTCCAGTGGTATCCTGGTTTGCAATATGATGTGGGCTGTGGAGGCTTTGACTTGAGACGGTTTCCTGTTACAGATTTCTCTGCCTATCCCCGCTCCCACTTCTGTTTGTTTGTTTTGTGGTTTTTGTTGTTGCTGGTGGTGGTGTTTTGTGTGTGTGTGTGTGTGTGTGTGTGTGTGTGTGTGTGTGTTGGGAGTCGGCTTTATGTAGTGGAGGCTGGCCCTGAACTTTTCTTGATCCTCCTGCCTCTACCTCCTAGTACCTAGGCCTGTGAGTATGGGAGTGTGTCGCCAGACCAGGCTGGGCTACTGGGCTAGCACATTCTCTTTGTGACTACAGATAACTGAGATGTTATAAGATCCTCTATGATCAGAAAACCTAGGGGCCAGGGAGAGGTCTTAGAAGATAACGATACTTGCTGTCAGGCCTGATAACCTGAGTTTTTGGTATTGTCTTTTTTTTTTTTTTTTTTTTTTTGTATAGCTCTGGCTGGCCTAGAACTCACAGAGATCCACCTGATCTGCCTCCCAAGTGCTGGGGTCAAAGCTGTGCATCACCATACTTGTCCTAGCAACCTGAGTTTGATCCTCAAGATCCACGTGATGGAAGAATAGAATAGACTCTCACAAACTCTCCTCTGACTTCCACTATGGCATGAGGCTCCCTTCCCCAAAGGGGAAAAAATGAAACAAAGCAAAACAAAAACAAATGTAAGAATAAAACAAAAGAAAAGAAAAGAAAATAGCAAACCCAGGTCCTTTGTGATGGCTCAGCAAGTAAAAGTGTTTTCTACCAAAGCTGACCACCTGGTGAAGGGGAGATGAGCCTCCCTTAGGTTACCCTTTGCCCTCTACCGGCATGCCATACACATGTGTGTCTACACATACACACCACCAAGAAGTAAAGAAATACATCAAGAAATGTAAGGACATTTTTGATATTAAAATATTTTTTTGGTGAGACAGGGTTTCTCTGTGAAACAATCCTGGCTATTCTGGAACTCACTCTGTAGACCAGGCTGGCCTCAAACTCACAGAGATCCACCTGCCTCTGCCTCCCGAGTGCTGGAATTAAAGGCAAGCACCACCATGGACCAGCTAAAAATTATTATTATTATTTTTTTTTTTAGTTTTTCGAGACAGGGTTTCTCTGTAGCTTTGGAGCCTGTCCTGGCACTAGCTCTTGTAGACCAGGCTGGCCTCGAACTCACAGAGATCCGCCTGCCTCTGCCTCCCGAGTGCTGGGATTAAAGGTGTGAGCCACCACCACCCGGCTTAAAAATTATTTTTTTTAAATATTTATTTATTTATTTATTATGTATACAATGTTCTGCCTACACGTACCCCTGCAGGCCAGAAGAGGGCACCAGGCCTCATTACAGATGGTTGTGAGCCACCATGTGGTTGCTGGGAATTGAACTCAGGACCTTTGAAAGAGCAGGCAATGCTCTTAACCACTGAGCCATCTCTCCAGCCCCTAAAAATTATTATTATTTTTTTTTGGTTTTTTCGAGACAGGCCTAAAAATTATTTTTAAAAGAAGAAATCCAACCAGGTCTGAGGACACATACTTGTAATCCTAGACCTTGGGAGAGTGAGGAGTTCAAGGCTAGCCTCAGGTATGTGGTACATTCAGTACCAGCCTGGGCTACAGAAAAACAGAGAAGAGAGGTGAGAGAAAGGGGAAGACAGAGAGAGAGAGAGAGAGAGAGAGAGAGAGAGAGAGAGAGAGAGGCTCTGGGACAATGGAACTCCAGGGGCAAAGCCCTCTGATTGACTTAAGTGGGTGTGAGTGGAGATGAGAGTAGCGAGCAAGACACTCATGACAAAGATCAATCAATTCAGACAAATTACCTCCGAAACGTCATTTCCACATCAGGATGTTTTGGGTTGAAAGTCAGCCAGACCAACTCAGTGACTATTGATTTCTGCACTTTTCAAGACTGCAGTCTCTGTCTAGGGTGGCGTCGCTTCAGCTTTCCTCTGCAGACTGCCTGCCGCTGAAGTCGCATTGCTGAGCAGGGCCTGCCTCTGATACGGTAGATCACCACATACCTTCTGCAGGGTCTAGACAGGGAGGCCGCTTTCAGTCTCAGGGAGTCTTTCTACAGAGATAAGGGTACAAGTCACGTGTGGTTGGAGCACAACTGAAGGGTGCCTAGAAAGGGCTCCCTGTCTCCCACCACCAAAACCACAAACCTTGGGATAACGTTTGATTCACCGGGGAATGAGTACATGTATTTATGACGTAGCCCTGACCGTCCTGAAATGCACAATGTAGACCAGGCTGGCCTCGAACCTCAGAGATCCATTTGCCTCTGCTTCTCAAGAGCTAGTATTAGAGGCATGGGTCCCCATGCTTGATTTAGTTTTGTTTTATGTGCATGAATGCTAGCCCGCGTGTACTTATTTGCATCATGTGTGTGCCTGGTACCCACAGAAGCCAGGAGAGGGTGTTGGTTGAATTCCTTGGAAATGAAGTCACAAACAACTGTAATCAGTCCAGGGAGGGTGCTGGGAATGAAATTCGGTCCGTGTGCAAGAGCAGAATGTGCTCTTGCTCTTGAGTGACGTCTCCAGCCTCAGATTCCTCAGTTACTCTGTGCCCTCTCAGGCACAGCTGCTCATGCCCAGGAGAACTTCTTTGTCTCCTTGGCCTTCACTGGCCCATCGTGTCAGTCCTGGTGGCTGAGAGACTTGCAGATCCCAAGTTCAGGCAGTGTGAGAGGAGGACAGATAAGCCCTTGGAGCTGGACTGCCACGAACTCACCTGCTTGCTTTAGCCGCTAGTCTGAGCATACTTTGCCCCAACCTCCTGCCCACTCTTCCCCTAAATCTAAATCGTTGCCCAAGCTAAATGTGGCCCTTCCCCCACAGTAATCCAAGTGATTCCTGGACCCCTAGGGAAATGGGAGAGAGAAATTTGCACAGCCTAAGGTAGCTGCAGTAGTACTTCTTTGCTGTATATTGAATCTTAAAAATTCATGCCAGATGGTGGAGGTGCACACATTTAATCCCTGCACTCGGGAGGCAGAGGCAGGCGGATCTCTGTGAGTTCGAGGCCAGCCTGGTCTACAAAAGCTAGTTCCAGAGCCGGGCGGTGGTGGCGCACGCCTTTAATCCCAGCACTCGGGAGGCAGAGGCAGGCGGATCTCTGTGAGTTCGGGGCCAGCCTGGTCTACAAGAGCTAGTTCCAGGACAGGCTCCAAAACCACAGAGAAACCCTGTCTCAAAAAACCAAAAAAAAAAAAAAAAAAAGCTAGTTCCAGGACAGGTTCCAAAGCTACAGAGAAACCCTGTCTCGAAAAACCAATAAAAAAAGAGGCAGAGGCAGGCAGATCTCTGTGTGTTTGAGGTTAGCTTGGTCTACATAGCAAGTTCCAGGACAGCCAGGACTACACAGAGAACCAGAAGAGAAAAAAAAGGTTTTTTTTTTCCTTTGCTGTACAGCACCTTTTATTTTCATGTAGTTCCGTCTGTTGATGATGGTTTAGTTCCTGTGCTTGTTGGTGTTCCTTCAAAAAGT